AAGAAGAATACACATATTTTTAATCCTGAGCCTTAGTTGGTAAGATCTTGACCAGTCGACGTTCCTTCTTGTGATGGGATTATGAGCTGCTTGTGCGTAAAATCGTATTCCCTCAGAGTTTGTTCAAGTCCACAAACCTCTGTCTGTGACTGAGCCCCTCTGACATGGCTCCTCTTAGTCACTAGAAGATTCCGACAGTGGTTGCTTTCGTAATCGCTTCCAACATAAAAGCTCCTTAACGGAAACACGTCTTCTGGACTCTCTGCGTGACAGTTTCCGGCGAGGAGTGGGTGTCGCTACAGGAGGTCCGGAAACCTCACCACTGTTTTCGCTGGAAGTATCTCTGAGCCATCCCCCCAGCTCCCTTTCCCTCAGTTCAGCTTCTCTCCCCCTGCTGGTTTCCTCTTCAGCTGCTAAGTCTCTTCCAACCTGTCTGAGCCCTTTCACCTCCCTCAGTTCAGCTTCTCTCCCCCTGCTGGTTTCCTCTTCAGCTGCTAAGTCTCTTCCAACCTGTCTGAGTCCTTTCACCTCCCTTCCTACCGATGGCAGTTCCCTGACATCCACCTCCCCTCCAGGGCCCCCTTCACCCCCTCTCGCCCCCTCCTCTACGGGCGGTGAGGAGGCACAACCCCGGAATGAACTTCCTTCATCTTCCGATGTCTCGAACACTTCTCTCCACCTGTTGCGGTTCCTGGTCTCGAAGCACTCCTCCTCCTCCGAGTCCATCTCCCCTTCCCCTTCCGATTCTGGGAATCCTTCCAACTCCTCCTCCTCCTCAGTGGTCCCAAAGTATTCCCTCCGGAACCTCTCCACAGGCTGAGGTTTCCGCGGGAACCTTTGATGGAACATTTCTATCAATACCTCGTCATTGATATCTTTGGCCATTACCCACGTGTTTTCTGACTCCGGTTCTCCTTCCCACGCTACCAAATACTCCACCTGATTCCCCTTCCACCTGGCATCAAGGATTTCTGCCACATGACTGCTGCATTCTCTTTCTTCTATGACCGGTCCCAGTGGCCATCCCTTCTCGTCCCCCCTCGTACGGTGACAGTAACGACCTGTGAAATACTGGGTGCAGTTTCATGTGGTTGGGTAACCGGAGCCTGAAAGCCACTGGGTTGACCTGTTGAATGACCTCAAAGGGACCCAACCTCCTGGGTCTTAATTTCTTACAACCTCCTTTGAGCGGCAGCCCTCGGGTTGACAGCCACACCCTCTCTCCAACCCTTATGGTTTCACCTTCCCTTCGGTTCTTGTCTGCCTGCCTCTTGTATTCTTCCTTCGCCCTTTCTAAGTTGAGTTGGAGCTGACGGTGGATTGCTTCCATTTCTTCTACAAAATGCTCGGCTGCCGGTACGCTCCATCTCTCCCCTTCTCCCCCTGGGAAAGCCCTGGGATGACACCCATAATTAGCCAAGAAGGGGCTCATCCCTGTGGACACATTCTCGGCATTGTTGTAGGCAAATTCCGCCAGCGCCAACTTTTCTACCCAGTCATTCTCTCTGTCATTGACATAACACCTCAGGTATTGCTGGAGGACACCGTTTGCTCTTTCCGCCTGCCCGTTGGTTTCAGGGTGCCGGGCAGTCGAAAAGTTGACCTCCACCTGCAGTAAGCTCATGAGCTTCCTCCAGAACCTGGAAGTAAATTGTTTTCCTCGGTCTGAGACCACCCTCAATGGCACCCCGTGCAACCTAAAAATGTGTTCTACAAATAACTTTGCTGTCTCTTCCGCCGTGACTGCATGCGAGCAAGCTACAAAGTGGCACATCTTTGTTAGTAGGTCTACCACCACCATGATGGCTGTTTTCCCTTTGGACTTCGGCAGATCAGTCATAAAATCTATCGACACTGCCTCCCAAGGTCGTTCTGGTGTTGGTAAGGGTTCTAATAGCCCCGCCGGCGCCCGCCTTTCCCCTTTGGCTCGCTGGCACTGCTCGCACCCTCTTACATACTCACGTACATCCTCCCTCACCTTAGGCCACCAAAATTCCCTGGTGACCAACCACATGGTTTTGTGTTGCCCAAAATGCCCGCCGTGGGGCTGTCATGCAACTGCTTGAGTACCCTCCCCTTAAGTCTCCTTCAGGGATATACAGTGCCCCTTTGTAATACAAAGCTCCATTTCTTTCCTCGAAACCCCTTGATTCCTCTCCCTCATCCCTAAGACCTCTAAGCTTATTCTGGGCGTATTCATCATTCTCTGTTTCTTCTACCAGTTCTCTTTGTCCCACCAATGCCGCCCCACACACCCAGCGGTCCTCTGGAATGACATGTCTCTCTTCGGGTGCTCCCTCCCCCTCCAAATATTCAGGTTTGCGTGAGAGAGCGTCCGCCCTAATATTCTCTGGGCCTGGCACGTAACAAATCTCAAAGTTAAATTTGGAGAATTCCTGAGCCCATCTCACTTGCCGTTGGTTGAGCACTCGTGCCGTCCTCCAATACTCTAGGTTCTTGTGGTCAGTGCACACTTGCACCTTATGTTGTGCGCCAATTAGCAGGTGCCTCCATCTCCGGAACGCCTCATGAATGGCTAGTAGTTCTCGGTCATACACCGTGTAGTTCCTCTCGGATTTGTTCAGCTTTCGCGAAAAAAAGCACACGGTCTCCACTCTGACTCCTCCTTCCCTGGCTGGAGAAGCACCGCCCCAACCGCTCTGTCTGATGCATCAGTTTCCACTCTCATCGGTTTTTGTAAATCCACATGCAGGAGCTGTTGTTCCGAGGCGAAGGCCCTTTTAGTTCCTCAAATGCTTGCTCCGCCTCCTCCGTCCAAGCGAACTTCTTCTTACTGCTGAGACAGTCCGTAATGGGCGCCGTCAGGTGGGCAAAGTTTGGGATGAACTTACGATAGAAGTTCCCAAACCCTAAAAACCTCTGCACATCCTTCCTTGTTTTGGGTGTTTTCCATTCCAGTACCGCCTGGACCTTGCCGGGATCCATGGCCAGCCCCTTGTCAGACAGGCGATACCCCAGGAATTCCACCTCCTTGGTATGAAACTGACACTTCTCCAGTTTCACCCACAGCTGGTTGGCTTGCAGCCTGCTCAACACTTCTCTGACGTCTCTCACATGCTGCTCCTCATTCTCAGAATACACCAACACGTCGTCTAAGAAGGCCACACAATTCTTGTAAAGCAACGGCCCCAGGACGTGGTTCATAAACGATTGAAATGTTGCGGAGCCTGCTTGTAGACCGAAGGGCATAACTAAGTATTCAAATGCCCCTAAAGGGGTGAACATGGTGGTTTTCCATTCATCCCCCTTCCTTATTCGTATCAGGTTGTACGCCCCCCCCTTAGATCCAGCGTGGTGAAAATCGTTCCCTTTCGCACCCTTGTCAAACTGTCGTCAATCCTGGGCATCGGGAAGGCCACTGGTTCTGACACTGCATTTAAGGCCCTGAAGTCACACACCAGTCTCGGCTTGTTCGTGTTTTTTGTCCACAAAAACACTGGGCTGCCCCACCGCCCTGGACTCTCTGATGAACCCTCTCTTCAGGTTCTTGTCAATGAACTCTCTTAGCTCCTGCATCTCTCTGTCTGACATGGCGTACAGCTTGCCCACAGGGAGCTGTGCCCCAGGGAGCAAATTGATTTGACAGTCAAAGGCTCTATGCGGTGGTAGTTGGTCAGCTTCCCTTTCGCTGAAGACGTCGCGGAGATCTGCGTATTGTCGTGGTACCTTCACGTTCTCCTTCACTTCAGTCCCTGCTAGGGTGGCTTGGGCCCCTGCCAAAACCTTTCCCTCTTTGCAATGTTCTAAGCAATGTGCTGACCCAAAAGAAACCACTCTCTGATGCCAGCCCACCAGCGGATCATGTAACGCTAGCCAGCTCATCCCCAATATAATGGGAGCTCCTCCCAAGGTGGCCACATTAAAAGCTATCAGTTCAGTGTGCCTTGCCACCTTCATTATCATTGGGACGGTCTGCAAGCTGACTTCTCCTCCCAACAGCTCCCTGCCATCGATCGTGGTTACCTGCAGGGGTTGCTTAAAGGGAGCGTCTGTATCTGGTGTTCAGCTGCAAACTCTTTGCTCATGAAATTGCAGGAGCTGCCTGAGTCCAACAGCGCCTTTATCTTTAGAGGGTGTCCGTTTGGGAGCTCTAGTGTCACTTCTATCACTAGGGCGGGTTTAGGAGGTTCTGGAGTGGGCACTTTCACTGCTCTTTGGCCTGGCTGCTGTGCCCCGACAATGGCAGCCAGGCGTTGGCTTTTAGTTGCTCCGGTATTTTTCCCTCTCTTCCCTCCACAGCTCCCACCATCCCTTGCCATTCCTTCCTCTGAGGGCAGACTCTGGCAAAGTGCCCTGGCTGTTGGCAGAGATAGCATTTCCGGGCGCCTTTTCCATCCTTCTTTCCCCCTCACTGGGCTTTGAAACTGCGCGCGCGCTGCTGTTCCGATTTCCATCGGCTCTGCCGGCGGGACAGTTGGCTCTGGAATTTCTGGAATGCGGAACTCCTTCCAACGTTCCCCTTTCCCTTCCCGCCTCTCCAATGCTCTCGCCTCCTGGCGCTCCTATGGCCAGCGCTGATTTGGTCAGCTGGTCCATAGACTCCGCCCTGGGCGCCCGGGAAAGTTCATCTTTCACAGCCGAAGAAAGCCCTTCTTCAAAGAGCATTTGAATGGGTTCCGCCGATAAGTCCCACCCCAATCTGTGTATCAGCATGGTGAACTCAGTCCAGTACTCACGTACAGATCGGCTCCCCTGTTTGCAAGCCATTAACTGTCTGCGCACCACTCCCTTTTCAATATCGCTGGAAAACATCAGATCCATGGCGCGAAAGAACTTCATCGTGTCCTTTAAGACGTCACTATTAGCTGCCATCAGGGGTCTAACCCAGTCTCTCGCCCCCTTTTCAAGATGCCCAATCACAAAAGCCACTCGTGATTCCTCATCAGGAAATCATCAAACTGCAGATTGAGGGCATATTGCATTTCTGTCCGAAAGCTATGATAGTCTTTGGGCTCCCCCAAATTTTGCACCAATCCTGGTACCTTTCTGGCGAGCTGGGTGGCTTTCTCCCTTTGTCTGCATCTTGAGCCCTCCTCTCCTCCAGCCTCGCCGTCTGCAGCGCCAGCTGGACCTCCAACACTCGGTACCTTTCTTCCAGGCTTGGACCCGCTCCAGCCCCTGCTTCTCCGGTTCCTGCTGGGTTGCTCATTATGCCTTCTCCTGCACAAGCTGCGTTCAAAGACTGTCGGAATGCTGTGATGGGATTATGAGCTGCTTGTGCGTAAAATCGTATTCCCTCAGAGTTTGTTCAAGTCCACAAACCTCTGTCTGTGACTGAGCCCCTCTGACATGGCTCCTCTTAGTCACTAGAAGATTCCGACAGTGGTTGCTTTCGTAATCGCTTCCAACATAAAAGCTCCTTAACGGAAACACGTCTTCTGGACTCTCTGCGTGACAGTTTCCGGCGAGGAGTGGGTGTCGCTACAGGAGGTCCGGAAACCTCACCACTGTTTTCGCTGGAAGTATCTCTGAGCCATCCCCCAGCTCCCTTTCCCTCAGTTCAGCTTCTCTCCCCTGCTGGTTTCCTCTTCAGCTGCTAAGTCTCTTCCAACCTGTCTGAGCCCTTTCACCTCCCTCAGTTCAGCTTCTCTCCCCCTGCTGGTTTCCTCTTCAGCTGCTAAGTCTCTTCCAACCTGTCTGAGTCCTTTCACCTCCCTTCCTACCGATGGCAGTTCCCTGACACTTCTGCAAGCGAAGGCCATAAAGTAAGACTCTAGAACATATGGGTGTGCTGAAATTGAGATAAAATCCATCTATGCTAAGCAACATTCTGTAATTAAAGGCAAGCTGGAAGTGCTATGCACATCATAGGCAGAGCAACACAATCCTATCCTGATAAGCAGCTATCAGCGTAGACACCCAGTGCTGGCAGTACCAGGGGAGAAGAGGCCAGCTGTTCTGCAACTAATTGCCTGCCATGAAACGGATCAAGTTAATCAGGTCAGATGCTCTACCCATTCATGCCGTAGGATTCCTCTTGTATGGTTACCAGACGTCCCCGTCTCCAGGGTACAGTCTGTCCCCGGACAAAATCCGTCCCCGGAATGTCCCCGGATTTCATTTACTGTCCCCGGATTTATATTTTAAGTGTCGTAGATTTATTAGTAGGGAATGAATGTT